TGATTAGGCTCGGGCCAAAAACGTCCGTGTGAACGCGCCTATAAATACGCGTTGTATTATATAGTCAATGGCCGCGTGTGTGTTGTACGTGCGGGCTTGTTCTTGCTGCCAGTGATTCATTCGTCTGACTCTGAGGTCAACAAGTGGCGCAGTTTATTAGAGGGTTGTTTGCAAGATGTAAAACACTACCTGAATATACAAGTTAATCAATTACATACGTTTGAACCCGAATTAACTCTATATCCAAGTAACAGCTCTTCGTATGTTCCAACAATCAACTCCATTGCTACAGCGCGTGTGCTCATTTGGGGGATGACATGTAAATGTGTAAACGTCATCAGAATATGGGCACTTCTTGCAAGAATAGATTCACGAAATGTGGTTTATTAAAAATATATAAATTTTAAAGTTTTTTCAGATATACAAATTCGGTTTATTTAATTATAAAATCAAAGATAATGTCTATCTCGTGCGAAACAAGAGTTATTATTTCAAATAGTAAGAAATTTTCGATACAATACGATACCGACGGACATGCGCGAGCGCTTTAGCATTTATAGATGGGTTCCACACTATGGTTCCACATCAATCGGACTTGACAAACGATTACAAATAACGCAGAAAAATTTCCAGTGTAGCCGTCTATTACGCGTAGCCCTCTGGTGTTGCCAGTTGGATTTCTGAACAAAATAGCGGAGAAATTCTTCTTAGTAATTACTAATTAGGAACTATACAGGATTCAGGAACATTTTAAAGAAAAATGTCTATTAGTAGGCCTAGTGGCCTCGGATCCTTATGGATGGGCGATGTAAGTTTACTCACATATCTTAAGATGTAGTCTCTACTAGTACTAGAAGTAGAACGGCTGAATAACTTAGAACGTGAATGTGTAAATGCTGTTACATTGTCTATGTAACATAAACTAAAGTAAAGAGTAAAGTAAGAGAGCCTTCGTGGCCCAGTGGTTAGGCCACGTATACTCATATTTACTGTTCACTGAAGGCTGTGAGTGTGAATTCAAACCCCGGCCGGGGCAGTGAATTTTCTCAAGGTGTAAAAACTGGCTCTCAACATTGGAGACTGAATCTCCCGTGGCTCGGATGACCAAGTAAAATGGCGGTCCCGTCTCCAGTAATACTATTAGTATTACTATTAGTATTACTATTAGTACTAGTAGTATTACTAAGGCTGAGAGGGTCCCCAGGGTACTGCCGGAACGTACCTTGGGTACGGTCCGGTATACCGGAACGTACCCTGGTACTATCTAATATGCCGGACCGTACCTTGCCTACTCCACTAACGAGTCTAGGGAGTCGCCTACGCCTACTCCCTAACCCTAACCCTAAACCTAACCCTAACCCTAACCCTAACCCTAACCATATCAAATAGTGACCAGGCTACGCTCCGGTATACCGGACCGTACTTAGGTTACGTTCCGGGCCTTCCGGCATTACCTTGGGGGACATAGACCCTATGACTATGAGCATTACTAAGGCCAATGGGGACGTAAAAGAACCACTGAGGGTGCAAAAAAACTCTGGCTGTGACCACCCTCAGTGCCATTTGGTAAAAGGCTAACTACCTGGCTTTACCCAAGCTAGGTCACACCCCATGGCTAGCTATAGCCCTGGACGTTTATTCCTTATGGGCTGTCCAGTATAGAAGTAGAAGTAGCCTAGGTCTAAGTAAAAGTAAAACTATATCTCTGGCTATTACCCAACTATTACTCATTACATTAGCTATTACTCCTCACCTGTAACTGTAGTGATGTCACGATCATCGATTATACTCGATCATCGGTTGAACAGTGGCTCGTACCAAGCGCTTGGTTATCAAAATCCATAATCGATTTCATCGAAAACAAAAAACAAAAACCAAAAATCGAAATAAATGTCAAACTTGAACAAGAAAACTTGGAAGACACGATAACACGCCAAGCATGCACTGCGGTGTAAATTTGCACTGTGATTGTCTGAAAAAAAATGCTATGCAAATTTATCCAATTGCTATACAAAATTTATTTTGTATAGCACATTTGCTATGCAAATTTTTGGCTGGAAATTGTTCCCTGATTCGTTATTACCCCTCACCTGTAACTAGTGATGTCACGATCATCGATTATACTCGATCATCGGTTGAACAGTGGCTCGTACCAAGCGCTTGGTTATCAAAATCCATAATCAATTCCATCGAAAACAAAAAACAAAAACAAAAAATCGAAATAAATGTCAAACTTGAACAAGAAAACTTGGAAAAGTGATGAGAATCAGAGATATATCATCGCTACTATACAAGTTATCCTTTATTAACATCCATGTATTATACACACAGTAGTAAACAGTGCAAAACAAACAGTAAACAGGGCTAAACAAGCACATACATGCACACACGTACATGCACACGACGTTACGCACACGCAGGCATTCAACACCCCGAGTAACCGATTGTGTAACCGATCATCGGTTACTTGGGTCCAACCGATGATCGATTCCGAAATTACAACTGATTGACAACACTACCTGTAACTGTAGTGGGTAAACCAAGCGATTTTGTGAAGTACAGTACATATGCCTATTCCTAAACATAACCTTAACTGTAATAATAACCCTTATTTTTGTCATACACATGATAAACGTGAATGATTGTATAAGATGTTTCAGTGTATAGCCTATTTTGACAAAGGCCTCATTATGGAGGCCCAATCCTATGTGAAAATAACGGTGTACGAGTCTTCTAAGACATGCTAGCTCTACTACACTAGACACTTGCTATTGTGTGAGCAATACCAATAATAGCTCGAGTACTATAGCCTGCTTACAGTTGCCGCAGGGCTATAGAACATTCTATTACGAATGCTAGGGAACAACCCGCTAACTGGCGCTGCTGCAGCGCCACCAAAAATGGCCGTTTGAAGTTCGTAAATCGAATGTTTGTTCACAAGAAATACCGCAAGCAGACCTTTTCAACGATAGTTAGAGGTTAAATTTTAGTAGCTGATATAACTTGAGACATATTCACTTCGGATAAGAGGCATAAATTGCCTACCAGAGACGTTTTATAGCCGCGAGTAACCGTGAATAAGTTGGCCCCTAGCATTCGTAATAGAATGTTCTATAGCCCTACAGCATCTGTACGCGGGCTATAGTACTAGAGCTATACCAGTAAGTACTGTAGTGGTCGGGAAAAATACAAGAACAATGAGGAGGACTTTAGAATCCTCATTGTTTCCTTTGACTGTTCCAGACAAACTTAAATAATATTGGTATTGCCTGTTAGTGTTAGTGTTACTTTAGCCTTTCGCTCCTACAGATGCTACTCTAAAAACAACAGTTCTTGGGAAACAGCATTGAGTCCGCAACATGGTAGGCTAGGCTGCATCCCATGAAACAAAGGAATAATAGCTAGCTAGCAAGATAGCTGTCATGGATTTAGCCTGCCACCCTTGCATCAAACTCAACTCATTGTAATTTGGCCAGGTTGGGCCGTTTATCGAGTGCAATCAAACCAAGAACATAGGTGGCCATGTATGATTTAAGCGGTGGTGGTGGCGCTAGTGAGCGGGCATGAGTTGGGCGATAATAAAAATATTGTTTGTTTGCCCTCACCCGACCGACCCGCCAAAAACGGGCCGACTCAAACAATTTTATTGACCTTATCCATTCTTTTTTTTTACAAATTGTATCACTGTACATTATATAAATCTGTAGGCAATACATTATATGTACCAAGCAAGACAAACATTCAACATAAAAGGTATCGCCACACAAGCACACCTGAGCATGTACTGTAGACACCATGCTAAATTTGTAAAAAGGCCCCCTCAGAAAAAGCCTACCACCTACCTACCCGAACTTTTCAGCCTGGGTTGGGTGAGGGCAAACAAATATTTTTTTAATTGTGGCCTTAGCCTGCTTTGCAGCAATGATTCAATGCCATTTCCCTGCCCTGTTATTCATAGAGTCCTGCAGCACAAGCATATAGGGCTACATGGGTATACCTACCTGTCACTAATTTTAACATTCATAATAAGTTTGAATAATGTCATAACCTCATGGCAAATAGTCTTCATAGCCCAAGGGACTGTAATGAAGAAGGAGTATGTAACATTAAATAAATTGACATGTTGACTCTTTAGCTGGATTGCAGTTGAAACAGTTTGTGTTTTACAATTAACTGGAAAGGAAGGAAGACAGTTCTGGTATGAAATAGCGAAAACAAACAGTTAAATTTGGACAGATCTGTTGCTCCATGAAATGGTCATATATATATAGAAAGACAATTTCAAACTTTTAATTTCCTATGCAACAAATTTGTAGTTGAATAAATTTCCAAACATCATCACAGCTGGTGTAACATGTAGCTGCTGAAAGGAATCAATAAACCTCTAGCTTTCTCATGGTAACTGGGCTATGCTTATCTACAAAGTTTTAACAGGGTATTTTCTGAAATAAAAAAATGTAATAAGCATTTCTGTTGTTACCGTTTATGCCCAGCTCGGTGCAAATAAAATTCAAAATCAAAATAACAAATCTGATAATAAATCTGGAAATCTATATTACTTAAGTTACTAGTGAATTTGCCATGGTTTTTCGTTATCTTAACTATTATTTTATTTTTTTGTAGCTGGAGCCATATATGGACGAGTTTTTCATCTCCGAATCATTCCGTACGATGGGTTATGAAACCAAAAATGTGAAAATTATCAGAAACAAAAACACTGGGTAATTTTCAACAGTTTTTATTATGAATTAAACGTCGTACCATTAGAAACTTTTAACCTGTGTGTGCACCTAGTTCACAATACGAGTTGTTGTCTCAATATCAAATATGTGATTTTCAATCTATTTCGTAGTTGCAGCTTGACACTGTGAACTTAATGTGGATTTCCCAGTTTGTTCCAGCAATGTTATCTGTTTGATGGCCAGAATTTGTCTGAAGGTACTCTCAAAAGCTTGAGTCCCATTCATGGACTTGCATCCGGAAAGTGACTAAACTGCATACGTGTACCTATCCAATCAAATTGAGCACTGGGGTTGAACTACATGCCAAGGCCTAAAGGCCCTGTCACACTAGAGCGTATAGCCTTAACATATGCCGAGTGAATGAATTATTTTGGAAAAGCCATCATACGCTGGCATACGTCGACCCAGGCACCTAAAAAAATCAGGATTTTTGTGGATTGGTCGTATACATAACGTATACATAACGAATTGAACGTATACACAACGTATGTCCAACGTATGTATAGCGTATCATTAACTTATAAATAACTTATGGGAGCGTATCCGAGCGTATGGTGAACGAGTGCCTGGCGTTCTCGACGAATGGCCAGCGTATGGGTAGCGTATGAGTAGCGCATGTGCAGCGTGCTCGGCGTTCACGAACGATCACGTGACGTACCAGGATAAATACCGTGCCGGCGGTGCCGCTCTCGTCATAAATCAATAAAGCATCTACCATGCCGCCCAAGCGATTGTATGCCCCTTCCAGTGGCAGACGGAGAGCAAAGATAACCCATGCACAACCAAAACCATCACCACCACCTGCAGAACAGCCAGACCAGCCTGACCAGCGTGACCAACCTGACCAACCAGACCAACCTGACCAGCCTAACCCTCATCCTACCGGCCATACACAGTCCATGTCAAGATCCAGAGAACCTCGCTCACCCACTCCTCCGTCCCGCAAAGGTTCTGTCGTCTCTGTTGCCTCTAACTCCAGGAAGCCCAATGACCAGACAAAGAAGAGAGGTCTACGAAGATTGTCTTTTCACTTACAGTAGAACAGGAGGAGAGTATGCTGGAGTTCTTGCAAGCAAATCCAATTATCTGGGACTCGCCCGCAACGCGCCCGCAACACGCTCACAGTACGCCAAATGAACGCTAGCTGTACGGTAGAAACACGTTAAATACGTTACTCCGTTGCCAGGCATACGTACAATACGTCTGAATACGTCAAGATACGTTGCAAATACGTCCAATATAGGTTAGAAGTAAGTTACTCAATCGTTGTCAATACGCTAGGTGTACGTTACACCCTCAGCCGACGTATCTCGACGTGTGAATACGTACCATGCCTCTAGCGTATGTCAACGTATGTCTAACGTACTCACGACGTATCTATAACGTATGCCTAACTTATGAATTATACGTTGTCTATACGCTGAAAGTTTTGAACAACCCAAAACATTTTTTCTGTCTCGGCGTACCTCGACGTACGACAGCGTATCACAGCGTGCTGTTAACGAATACAACTTATGCCTAACGTACTCCTAACGTACTCCTAACCTATATCAACGTACACTAACGTATTGGCAAAAAATCTCATACGCTGGTATACATTAAGGCTATACGCTCTAGTGTGACAGGGCTATAAGATAAAATATTGCTTGTTTCCCCTTTACTGACCGACTCGCCAAAACGCCGCTACTCGACACATTTTATTGGCCGATTAAAACAAAACAAAAATTATTTCGTTTCGCCAAAAAAAAAAAAATTTGTTCCGCAAAAACATATACACAAAACAGAATATACAATATACATACACACATCTTGTCAAAACAAAATAAAAAAGATTTTTCGGCCTTCGGTACCCTGAGAGGCGAGTAGGTAAAGGGGAAACAAACAATTTTTTAAGGGTGGCTCAATGCAATTCCATACCATTACGCATTTGGCTAGCGATGTTCTGTAAAAAAAACATTTATCATACATTATCATTCCATTTAGCTTGTGCATGTTGATAAAAAAAACACCACACTGACTCCAATTGAGCAGGTGAATCTACACAAAATTGGGCATGTAGCAAATAATTTGCACACATGTGGTATTAATGTGCATGTACTACATTGAATTCAATAGTAGCTAAACTGATGGCTTATTTGCTATGACCATTTTGCTATCATGATGATAACAAAGTTCTGCCATTATTTGATAACGTATTCAGCGTTGTCTTTGCAGTGCACCTGTAGGTTACTGCTTCGTTGATCTGGGTACTGAGGATGTTGCTCGTAACTGCATGATGGGTCTAAGTGGTCGTACCATACCAAATTCTTCTCCTGTAAGTATTGGGCTCAAATGCAGCCTCCATTAAATAATATTGGCCACTGTGGCTATCGGGTGTACATCAGAAAGGTATCAATAGCTAAGACTAGGACAGAAAGCTATCAAATGCTAGGAATAGGAGCGATCAGCACAGTTGGGTAGCAAATGGTGGAGTGCTGCACAGGCATGCTTGGCACACCGTGAAGTCATGGAGAGGTGTTTGGTGAGTGTAGAGTGCAGTGTACGGCAGCATGCTAGATAGGGGGGTTCTCCACAACATTCTGCCTTTCCTTTTCACAGGCAAAGAGATTCAAGTTGAACCCAGCAATACATGGAGGAAGAGATCAGCCAAACTCGTAAGTGCTTACGTATGCACATGTATGCAAGTGTGCATGCTTATGTTAGTATATTAATATATAGTTTCACAGTTTCCCGCTTATACGTGAACAAGGTGCCACATTTTAAATTATAATTCGGCAACTAACGTTTTAGAAGAAATCCGGTAATTATTTAATAAGACGGCCTTTGTTTGCGTGCGTGTTTATACCGTTTTCACCTTTCGCGTGCACATTACAATCACATGGCTATGCACAGGGTAGCATCATGACAGATATCCACAATAGCAAAATAGCTGTTCCGCAATTATGCTGCCGCGTGTAGCTCTAACGGAGACATCTGTGTGTTTGCCGTCTCGTTTATAGACAGGATTTCTCTCTCTTCGTCGGTGAGCTCTCAGAAGATGTCAATGACCTGGCACTGTACAACGAGTTTTCGAGACGCTACTCTTCATGCGTGAGCGCGAAAGGTACGTGACTCCATGAGTGATTCGTGCTCGGTGTTAGCGGATGTTGATGCGTGGGCGCTGGTTCTAAAAACCTTCGACTATGCAAAGTGATGTTGCGTTTTCGCGTGCAATTGATGGTTTCAGTAAGAATATGGGTGTTGGTACTCCATTAATTAGCGAAGGCCTGCTGCTTGATACCCTCTAGAACTTATGTAGCTGCGCAAAACCCTCTAGAATCTTGTTTGCTTTACTCTGTCTCATTCTGCGCCGTTATGCGCGTGTTTTATTATGTCAAACAGTGATGTGTGTTTTATATTGGTAATTGGTGTCTTGCGTATTTCTTCAGTTGTGATCGACCACGTTGGTGGTCGGAGCAAAGGATTCGGTTTTGTGAGGTTTACGAATCAGACGGATCAGGAGAAAGCACTGGTTGAGATGCAGGATAGCACGGCCATTGGACGTCGCGCTATTCGAATTAGTTTGGCTACGCCAAAAAGGTAGGCATCATCGTCAGCAAATTTTCTGTGCGTGAGTTTAGTGGAAAAACCATGGTGGCCATGATGCATTGCTGTGTTGCGTATTTAGCTGAGTATTTAGTATTAAGCCATTAATCTGAGATGCGTTTATAGAAGAAATGTCTGTGCAACAAAACTCCTATTTATAATATAGATTTACATACTGTTATATTTAAAACATGGCTGTGATTATTTCCTTATGTGGTACTAATATTAGACTTGAATATTTACTTATACCCAAGAATGGCAACATAGTAGCATGATAGTAGTATTTCCAAATGCCTCTGCCATGCTCTGGCACTGATGGAATTGTTCCTCATTTACATGGACAAATTACATGCCCCTCTCTCATGTACGTTTGCCTAATGTGTTGTGTTATTTCATGCGTGATCGTTAGACAACAGCAGCATTCGCAGCAGCAGCATCATTATAACGATCAGCAGCACCATTACCAGCAGCCCTACAACTACCAGGACCAGCAGCAGTACCAAAATGCGCCCTACAACCAGTACTACGGCCAGTACAACTATGGCTCATACGACCAGCAGGGGGCGTGGCAGTGGTATGACCAGTACCAAAATGCCAATCCACCGCCCAACGTTGAAACAGAGCAGGTATGTTAAAGTTGTGTTGTATCGATAGCTAGTATTGATCTAGTACTCTAACAACATGGATTATGATAGCAATTGACCAGATAGACAGAAACACATTGCTTTTAGAATGACCCTATGCAGCTGCATATGAGTAAAAATCCTTTAATCCAAAACTTTATTAAACATATTCATGAAACCAATAAAAGAAAGTAATTATTGACTTAATTTTATAGCAATAAAAGTTACAACTTATAACTGTTATTTAAGGATACATTCAGTGTTGGTAGGTGGTATTTGGTCGAAATTCTACTTCTACCGTCTGATACCACCTACTCGAAGCACCAGGAACATGTCAGAGCACTCTTTTCAAATCCCATCCTGCAGATGTGACTACAGGAAAGGCTCCTTCTTTCCCAGGTCTATTACAGAGTGGAACGCCTTACCCACTGAAGTGGTGACAGCCGAAAATCTATGTTCCTTTAAGTCTCTGATTACTGCCTAAACGACATCAGGGCAGTTTTTTAAGTAAAATTTGCTTTTTTGGTTTTTTTTTCTTTAGAAAATCAAGGGAAGGAAAATTTTATTTTAGTCTCAACTAGCGCCTCCCGTTGGCATAATCATCAGTATGTTGATGGTGGCCAATATAGCGTAGAAGTAGAAGTAGAAATTTCAATACTCATTTTATTTGATAGATGGCGCCCATGAGCAGCTATGTATACGTAGACGTTATGTATGTAGCCTCCCAAACTGTTCAAAATCCCCGCATACGCTTACCTGGCATATGCAAACCCTGGAACGCCCTTTAAATAGTGATGTCATGAACGCGTGCTATCCCAAAATATACTACGTGCCACCCCAGCATGCGAATCGGCAATGCTGTTACAGCTGTTTTGTTCCGCTATTGCTACGGGCATTTGTGTACATAGAGACGATAACAGAGGGCGATGAATGGGAGATTGAAACAGATCAGTTATTTTTTTCTATTCATAACAGCAAGACTGTTTTTTAAGTTTGTTGGTGTTAAACGGTCACAGATAAGTCGCAGTAAGTACTAACAGTAGCAATTCTACTTACCTTGGTCAATTCTAAACACAGCCATTCAATCATTGCAAAATATAGAAAAGTGCTAATATCTCCGTTGTTAGAAATGCTGTAGTTGCTGATTTTCAAAAGCTATTTATCGAAGCTTACAACTCCGATTCCAAAATTTTTGTTTCGTGTTAATGCTAACATATTAAAAGAAAAAACGGTCCCTGGAATTTTTATGAAATATTATTTTAAAAGTTATGGCTCTTTGTTTATGAAATTGTGTTTTAAAAATCATAACAAATTTTCGTGCATCTTATTTCCTAAAGTAAAGCATTTAAACAAAATTCTAGATACCATTTTTTAGTTCATACTATGAACAACTTATGGCTAAAAGTTTAGGTCCCAACTCATATATATTTTTACCTCCGCCAAGGGGTTGGCAGGAGGTTATGTTTTCACCGGTGTATGTTTGTTGGTCTGTGCGTGTACAGCCTAACTGAAAAAGTTATGGGCGGATTGTCATAAAATTTTCAGGATAGGTCAGAAATCGCCTAACTTAGAATTGATGACATTTTGGTGGTGATCCGGATCAATTAATTAAATTAATTAATTAATGAAATTTTTAGGATAGGTCAGAAATGGGGTAACTTAGAATTGATTACATTTTGGTGGTGATCCGGAT